AAATAATTACCAGTTTGAACTCACCATATGTGGGTGGAACAGCAACTTCACGTACAATCTCGTCTCCAAGTTTAAATTTGGGATAGGTCACATGCATGTATGTTTTCCCATCTTTTGCTTGCTTTGGTTTCCTATGCACATTCTCGTTAAAGTGCAAAATGGCGAGTATGTGTCTAAAATCCAGGAAATAAAGATATATAGTACACCTTGTATTTATTTATAATACTAGCTTCTTACTCTAAACAAATGCATAATTTCTTTCTCCATTATATCAAAGCACTTCCTTCTTCAGATGCCCAAGTCCCATTGTAATTACCTGCAATACGTCCCAAGCCACGAAAAGCAAAGCATTTTCGGGTGCCACTGATTGAGTGTCGAGTGGAAGCCTTCAAGGGCACTAGTCTGAACATCTGGGGAAAGTTTGCTAATGTCCTTTAACACACTTTTTTTCATCAGAATCCCATTTAGTTTATCATATGCTTTGGTACCTTAAAAAAAGTGTATACTGTATGTTGGCATTCTAATTCGTTGTCAGATTGGTGAGTTTTACAAGCTCTTTTCATATCTGTATATAAACCTGCCAACAAATCTTCCCTTGAAGCCAGAAGTTAAAATTATCCGACATAAGATAAAGTAAAATAACTTTACATTAGCTTTAAACAAAACTGGGTGCACAAGGCATTGCAGCTTCATTATTGGCCACTTGCACCTTTTTATTCTTATACTTTGTCAATGCCAGATGGTTTTATTCTTCAAGGGAAGAATGTCCACTTAATGGGTAAGCGTTAATTATATTGATCACCATGCACACAATAAACATATACAAACAACGTCATACCAACTTTTATCCATTTTCTCGGTTCTAAATCTCCATGAGCACATTTTGGAAAGAGTGGGTCTGGGTGATTATGTTTATTAGCGATGTGCCCCATCAATGACTTCCACTTGGCTAAGATTAAACTTGGAAAGTTTCCCACCGTTGTCGTAGAGCACCAATAGATATGGTTTCTTACTCCTTTTGTCCACTCTTTAATCGTTTCACATCCCTTTTCCTTGCTAGCTTTAAGCATCTTTTTCACAATGCCTTTGATGACATGCCACTGGTCAAAGAAATGTTTTATTGCAGGATGTGAATCGCGTATATATTTGCAAATTCCTTTGTGGCGATCGGATACAAACACAGGAATTGTCAAACCAGCAGTTGTGATCAAGAAGTCAAAGCATTTCTTACAACCATCCAGCTCCATGGCGTTGCTGCTTCCAGATTGGTTTGCCTATAATAATGAATACAATATTTATTATGAGTTGCAATATTAGTCTAATAGAGCGATTGTCACACTTTTAATTTGAATTAGAGATTGTATCTCTAATTCCAGGGCTAAAATAACTATGTGGTAACAGTGGTTTCCTCCTGCATAGTATGGTTTTTGACAAGTGGTGTAATGAACTAGTGAAACTAAACAAAACAACTAAGACTACAAAGCATGTAAAGTATTTCACAAATAATTACTTGCAACAAGTCGAAATGCACTATCTTCATGATGGTAACGAATTTTGACTGAATATCACATCTATATTTGAATACAAACTGTTCTTTTATAGAAATTTACAAAACCAGAGTTTTCTTAGAGTCACGCCATGTTCAATTACCCACGCATGCGCGAACTAATGTCAACTACGCGTGCGCCAACTAAATGTCCTATAAATTAACATAAATTAAGTCGGAAGTTCGTACACTCCCGCCTTGACAACTTATTTGTCAACACAACGTCTCTTTATTTCTCCGACAATTGCTGCCTTTCTTCTTGATCTACGATCCTCCTTTTCATCCTGTTGGGTATGTTCGTTCCTAAGCTCCAATGGAAACAGTTTCTGAACGGGGCGCCGTATGTACGTTGATTTCTTGCTGTCCCCCGCAATTCTAATAATAGCAGCGCGTATTTTCCCATCTGTACTACGTATTAGCTCATGAACTCTTGCCAAACGCCACTTTGCTCGAGATCTGTTCTCGTCATGCACACTAACTACATCACCAATGTTGATATATGTTTCTTTCGTCACGCTCAACGAGCCACGATGTTGTTCCCTAAGACTCAGAAGATATTCCTTATGCCATTTTTTCCAGAAACTGTCAGTTAACCTACATAGATACTTCGCTCTTTTTGTTAACTCCGTTCCAGACATGTCTACCGTTTCTCTTTCACACCTCGAATTTGACATCAAAATTGAACGTCTTCCCATTAATAAATGAGAAGGTGTTAAAGCTTCTTCCATTTCGCCAGATTCAACATACGTCAGAGGTCTTGAGTTTAGTACACTTTCTACTTCCGTAAGAACTGTATTAAGTTCATCGTAACTTAATCTCGCATTCTTTAATGTTTTCTTTAAACACCGCTTCGACGACTTGACCATTCGCTCCCAGAACCCACCCCACCAAGGGGCCTTTTCGACTATGAATTTCCATTCAACTCGTCTGGACTGTAACAATTCTTGGACTTCCGGTAAATCGAGTAATGCTGACAATTTATTGCTTGAGGATTTAAATGTTTTAGCATTGTCCGATAATATCAACTTTGGAATACCTCTTCGACTAATGAATCTCCTAAATGATCGAATAAACGCATCAGCTGTCAGGTTTGGAACCAATTCCAGATGGACTGCTCGAGTACTTGCACATGTATAAAGTGCAATATACGCTTTGGTCATTTCGGTTTGCCCTTTAGCAACCGATTTTACGTAAATTGGTCCCGCGAAATCTACCCCAACGTGACTAAATGGAAAATCTTGAGTAACACGGAATTTGGGAAGGTCTGCTTGAGTTGGCGGTGTATAAGCCTTTCCTTCGAATTTACGACAAGTTACGCACTTCCCAATCACACGTTTAACTGTTTGTCTACCTTTGACAATCCAGAATCGTTCTCTTAAACAGCATAAGGTGTCTTGCACCCCATTATGAAGCACTCGTTCATGACACTCACGAATGATAATCGAAGTTAAATGATGGTAGTTCGGTAGAATAATCGGATTCTTCGTTTCGGTCGGTATGTCCGCTTGAGATATTCTTCCTTTACAACGTAGAAGCTTTGAATCGTCGCTGTAAAGTCCTAGAGACCTTTGCACTTGTGAGAATTTCCTACCATCGATAATGGTTCTCTGAACGGTTTGGAACCATAGCACTTCCGCCTCCTTTATCTCGTCAGTTGTGATACGTTTCCGCTGTCGACTATCTGCCGCCGTGCAATTGTGTTTGAGTATTTTCACAAATCTTACTACCAGGGCTGTAACCCGATATAATTTCAATGAAGAACTGTATCTTTTTGGATCGATTAATAGTTCTAGATTTATACGCCTGTTCTGAACTTGAGTTACTGACACGTGTGTAGAACCGTCCGATGTCGCTAACGATCTTTCGCTCAACTTCATTTCTTTCTCCGCTGCTTCGTCAGGCTCTGCATTCTTGAATTGAGGCCAATGTTCTTCAGATTCGTGAAGCCAAGTTGGACCATTCCACCATAAACTATTATCAGCTAAATCTTCCAACCGAACACCTCGAGATGGTAGATCTGCAGGGTTGCACTTCCCAGGTACATGTCGCCAGCACTCTACGCCACTCAATTCTCTGATTTCCGATAATCTGTTCTCTACGAATTGCTTAAACTCTTTGCTAGTT